CCCCCAAAACCCCAAAACCCCAAAACCCCTGAATAATGACTGGTATTTGAATTTGGTATAATTTAAATTGAGTATTAGACAAATCCCTCGGAATCATCACTGTCTTCTTGACCATCATCCTCTTCATTAGCTTCTTCCTTATGATCTTCTTCTGGTTCTTGGTCTTCATCATCACTATCGTTTTGTCCATCTCTAGAGGATTCATCTTCTTTGCTGACTTCTTCCTTGGTCTCTTCTTTGCTAGTAGCATCATCAGTCTCATCTTTGATGACTCCTCCACCAAGTTTTCTAGCTTCCTTCTCAGCTTTGGCTTTAGCCTTCTTGGCTGCTCTTTCTTTTCCAATTTTCTCGATCTGGGCTTCGTCAACAAGGAAGTAGCATCCTGAAGCCTTCTGTTCCTGATCCTTCTGGGAGTTCATCTTATTAATTCTTGGTCTGAAGTTGGTTGGGTCTCTTCTGAAGGTGATCTCAAGCATTTCCAAGAACCTGTTCATACCAGAGACGAGTCCTTCTGGGGTTGTGCATGATGTCTCTTTTGCTGGAGTACCGTCGAAGACAATAACCTTATCAGCTAAGTAAGAAGCCATAATGAAATCATGCTCTACGATGAAAGCGCTTCTTTTAGTGTTCATAATCCATCTCTTAAGAACTTTAGCAGCAATGATTCTTTGTTCAGAGTCGAGGTAAGCACTTGGCTCATCGATCAAATAAATGTCACAGGGTTTTCCTAGTGCAAGGGTGATAGCAACTCTTTGCAATTCACCTCCTGATAATGTTTGAACGTTATTATCCAATAAGGATTCAACATCGAGTGGCTTCAATACTTCAGTTTTGAACAATGGACTATTCCACTTTGTTCCGAGTTTAATATCGAGCAAACTTCTGACGGATTCAGTGAACTTTGGTGCGATCTTCTGTGGCTTAATTGAAATTGATAGCTTTGGCATCTCAGTATCCTCATCATCTGGCTTTAAAATTCCTGCAAGAATGTGAATCAAGGTACTTTTTCCAGTACCATTCTCACCAAGCATCACAAGAATTTCTGAGTTTGAGAAGCTACCTGGGTTAACAGTAAGTTTGAAAGGTCCCAAAGTTTTGGTCATTCCTGGATATTGATAATTAGCCCTCTTGACAATTCCTTCTTTCTTTTCTTCTTCATCATCTCTCTTATCCTGGGAAACTTTGAAAGTTAGTTCAGTAGTTCTGAATCTCATGTTTTCAGAAGGGATAAATCCTGCAAGGAAAATATTGATTCCTTCCTTCACTCCAGAAGGCATAGTGACTACACCATATGCTCCTGGCATTCCATATAAACAGCAAATGAAATCTGATAGATAATCTAAAATACTGAGATCGTGCTCAACACAGATAATGTAGTTATCATGTTGAACAAGATTTCTAATAGCCTGGGCTGCTTTAAGTCTTTGCTTAACATCAAGATATGAGCTTGGTTCATCAAACATGTAAATATCAGCCCTTTGCACATAAACCATTGCAATGATGAATCTTTGGAGCTCTCCTCCTGATAAATTCTTAACTTCTCTTTCCAAGACATTTCCCAAGTCAAGATATTCAATAGCTTCATCCATTACTTTTCTTTTGTCAGCTGCTTTAAGCTTCTTCTTGACAATACCTTGTGCCTTCTTCTGCTTTGCAACATCATCTACATATTGGACCTTGGTGACAGCTCTAAGATTGTCTTCTAGAAGCTTAGTGAAGAAACTCTGAAGCTCAGATCCTCTGAAGTACTTAAGGATGGCTTTCCAGTCTGGAGGATCTTCAAAGCTTCCCAAATTTGGCTTAAGGTTTCCTGAAAGGATTTTAAGTGCTGTGGATTTTCCAATACCATTTGTTCCAACTAATCCCAATACTTCTCCTGATCTTGGGATAGGCAACCTGTGGAGTTTAAATGAGTTTGGTCCGTATCTATGAGTCTGCTCATTCCTTAAGTTCTTAGGTAGATTAATAATATGAATGGCATCATAAGGGCACTTCTTAACACAGATAGCACATCCAATACACAACACCTCACTAATATAACTAATTTTCGACTTCTTCTCGACCTCAATGCAGACCTTGCCTGTCTTATTAACCGGGCAGTGTCTCTTACACTCAAGCCCACACTTCTTGGGCTTACATCTATCTTCATTAACAATAGCAATTCTGGCTTTCTCCTCATCCCCTTTGCCTCTCTTGCCTGTCTTATCTTTCTTTTCCATATTTATTAAATATATTATAAAATCTAATATAAAGTAGTGTTTTTAACCATACAGATTCTGAAGAAATCCAGTCAATCAGATCGTGGCTCTCAGGGGTTTTGGGGTTTTGGGGTTTTGGGGTTTTGGGGTTTTGGGG